GAGATATGGTGAGAGAGGAGACAACAGAAATTCTTTGAATAATAAACACACACAACAGGGCAGAAGACACAGTGAGAGAGAAGATAATCCCTTAGCAATAAACAACATAAGATATACAGCAAGAGAGAGGAGACGACAGAGAATCTCTCTGTAATGAACAGAAAACAGGACAGAAGACACAGTTGGAGAGAGATGTCAGAGAATCCCTCTGCAATAAACAGAAAACAGGACAGAAGACACAGGGAGAGGCAGGAGATAACAGAGAATCCCTCAGCAATAAACACACAAGAACAGGAGGCACACTGACACAGCTTGAATCTGATCTCATTGTTGAGCAGGGAGCTGTGCCATCAGTCGCTCACGTCTGGGTTGTCATTGGTCAGTGTGTGCCAGCACTCTACTTTCTTATCTTTGTGCTTCAGACACTCAAACCAGTGCCTCAGTCTCTCTCCTTTTGCATCGATTCCCAGCTGGATACCACCTGTGGGCATAGAGACAGAAAGAAGGGAGTGACTGATACAGGCTTCTGGGGTCTCTGCAGTCTGTTAACACTGCACTGAGTACAGCACTGCAGTTTATTAACACTGCACTGTGGACTATTAACACTGCACTGAGATTCAGGATCAGCTGTCTGTGGGGCAGTGTTGTAGGAGATGTTCTGTCTTTTTCACTCAGGATACTGTGCTCAGTAAGGAAGGCCGGTATTGAGGCATTCATGATAAGGCAGAATAGTTTGAGCAGGGCAGAGCTGGCTGCATCTCTGAGCTACTGGGACTCAGCATCTCACTGTTGACTCTGTCTTGGCCACAAACCTTTCATGGTCTGAGGGCTTAGAGTTTGTCTAGTGGCTCTTGCTTTGTGATCAGGACGTCTAAGAGGTTTGTGATGGTCTGTTTATCTATGATTATTACTGTTTTACAGATTTTGGTCTAAAGCTTCTGCACTGGGTTGCCTGTAGTCAAGAGTTTTGAAGTGTGTTGTTCCAGATCGTTTCATTTTGCATGTCCTGTTCTACGGGTAATGATTTTTTAGATTACTCTACTGCTCAGTAATATCTGAATTTTCTCATCATTAGTGGTATTTGTCCAGCCTGTTTGTAGCCTATCTTCAATTCAACTTTATTGTCATTAAACTTACACAGGTGCATAGTATAATGAAAAGTGTTTCTCATTAGTCACTCAGGTGCAGTATATAAATAGGACAGAAGATAAGACAATAGACAGTAACACAATAGCAATAACAGTAACATGGAATAACATAACATAAATAACAAGTAATCAAGTAATCAAAACTGTGCAAACTTCCGCAAACAGAGAAAATATAACAGGACAAAAACTAGTGCAAGGTAATTATTGGAACAGTGCAAAAATTGTATGGTTAAAAATAGTATGGTTAATTAATAAATATTAAATATTATTAAGACCGGTACAGTTTTACTGGGCTATCGAGGGGACAGTACAAGTTTGGCTTACATGTGTGTGTAGTGGTGTAGGAGTACAATCATTGTGGGTACAGGAGGACAGTAGGAGAGATCATAATATGATGGGAGGGAGTGGGGGCGTCACCAGCTTGACAGCTCTGGGGAAGAAGCTATTTTGGAGTCTAGTTGTGTGCAACGAAGTGACCGGAACCTTCTGCCAGATGGTAGGAGAACAAACAAGTTATGACTGGGGTGAGTGGGGTCAGACATAATTGTGGTGGCTTTTTTCAGACTCCTGGTGTTGTATATTTCCTGGATGGATGGTAAGGCACTGCCGATGATGTGCTCATGCCTGGTTAAGGTCATACATGGCTGGTCTGTCACTGTGTCTCTGCGCTGGTGTGCTCTGATGTACAGTGGTCAGTGACTAATGAGTTTGTGTCCTGACAGTGAAGGCACTGATACAGGAGGGGTCCAGGTCAGTGATGGCGTAGTCCACCACACTGCTGCCCAGAGCCGAGCTGTAGGTGAACCTGCCTAGAGAGTCCCCTCTGGTCCTGCCGTTGATGACGTAGAGGCCCAGCCCTTGACAGAGCTGGAGCAGCTCGCGCCCGGTGTTGCTGACCGCGGTGTCATGGCTGCACCTGTGTGAGGTGACCGGTGTGTGGTACAGAGGGGATTGGATAGTCCAAATATGGGTGTTTCTCTGTGTGCAGGTGAAGTTGGCCAGCGTGCCTGATTGTGTGTTGAGGTCACCTGCAGAGCAGGGCGTTTCCCAGTCTCTGGAAATGACAGATCTCTGTGGGAAGAATGTGGAGAATTCCCTCAATGTAACAATTGGATTTGGTAGGGGGGATGTAGTGTAGACTGCTTTTTTTGTGCAAATTATATTTCTAGTGATTTTGAGCCAAATGCATGACGTGTTTCTCTTTACAGCATGCATGGATTGACTGTACCTTCTCATCTGTAACATTCAGTAATCTCTGCTCTGAGTGACTGTAATGCCTGTGCTCTTGAGGACATGCCTGCCTGCCACCCTATCTTAGACATCATCACATTCCTCCCTGCTAAAACACTGAGGAGCTCATACCGTGCACATCGCTCAATACTAATCTAGACATCTGTCTGAATATATGAAATTTCACACTTCTTATCTGGTATGAGAAACTCGTGCAGAATTTCCACACTATGAAAAAAACATTTGGGAAGCAGTTTAAAGTCACAGCTACATCCTCGTATTCTTCAGAATGTGCTGGTTATTGGTGATTGATGAATATGCTGATGAGCTTAGTGCAAATGAAGTAGAGCCCTGTGACTGCGTGAAGTTCTATCTGGTGCTCAGTGATGATGTCAAGCAGGGCCTGGAGTCTGTGGGGCCCAGTGATGACCTCACAATCCTCCAGTCCCTACAGGCTCACCGATAAAGTCGTTGCTCATCCCCAGGTCATAATCCCACACTGAGATCTCGAGAGTCTTTTTTGCCAGCTCCTCATGAGGGATCTCATAGACAAACTCCTGAGAGACAGACAAGTCAATATATTAACACTGCACTGAGAGAGAGGGGTTAATACAGTA